CTCAGAAAGTCATAAATATTTTATGAGGCTCACAGTTTTCTTTGCAGATATTTTTGTCTATTTACCAGCAATAATTTACTTTGCATTAAGCAATCAAGTATCAAGAACAGAAATAAAAATGTCTAATATATTTGGCTTTGATAAACAAGATATCACTATCCTAGTAATGCTAATTTACCCAGGTCAAATATTAATTGATCATGGTCATTTTCAGTATAATTGTATATCCTTAGGACTGTTTATTGGAGCCGTTGCAGCTATTCTCCAAAATTCACTCATTATTGGATCATTTTTATTTGTAACTGCTCTAAATTATAAACAGATGGAACTTTACCATGCACTGCCAATATTTTTCTATATTCTTGGTAAATATTTACCTCCCAGAAAAAGATTTAAATTATCTAATTTGGCAAATCTATTTTGCATATCGTTTACAGTAGTTTTTACATTTTTTATCACATGGTTTCCCTTCGTAAAAAGTTTAGAAACATTCACCATAGTTATATTTCGATTATTTCCAATTGCTAGAGGCGTATTTGAAGATAAAGTAGCAAACATCTGGTGCGCAATCAATGTTCTTTACAAATTACATGATACATTTACAAATTCACAATTGGCTAAGATCTGTTTGGCGGCAACGATAGTTACAGTTTTACCAAGTTGCATAAATTTATACTTGAAACCACAGAAAGAGAGATTCATCATTTCTCTTATTAATTGTGCTCTAGCATTTTTCTTGTTTTCATTCCAAGTTCATGAAAAATCAATCCTGCTTGTTGCAATTCCGGTTCTATTGCACTTTCAGAATGATCCATTCCCTTGCTTCTGGTTCCTAATAATTTCGCATTTTAGCATGTTACCTTTGTTTATGAAAGATAATTTATATTTAGCTTATTGGATGACGTTAATCTTTTACACTCTTAGTACTTTTTGGCTATATCCTGATATACTTAGTCACGAAATGCCATGGGTTAATGAAACTACAAAATCACAAAAACAAGCCAAAGTAAAGCTATCAAGAAACAATAAGAGTACATCACTTTTTACAAGCCTGATAAAAGATGTAATGTATTACTGTAAAAATAATTTTAGTGTTTTATTGAAGTATAATCTTTTGCTAAATACACTATTTTACAGTTCAGTTATGGGACTGATAGCATTGTCTATTGCTAGTGGTTTCTTAGAACCTCCAAACAGATATCCAGATCTATTTTCATTATTAATTTCTGTATATTCTTGTGGACATTTTATTGTATTCTATTTATATTTCAATTATAAGCAATTCTGTATATAAAAAGATATATAAATTTGAAATAAAGAAACTGAATAATTCATTTATATTTGCATTGTATTTTTTAATTCGAAGAAACTATCCTAAGGGTGACTATTAATTCGACATTGTAGTATCATCATAGTAACATTGGCATCATCTACATTTACACTAACATTGACTAGATCATTCCATCTTTTTGTAAATTATATAATGCTCTATGTGAATCTGAACTTTGCTCTGTTACTGAATACTACTCTACTGAATTAGCATAACATCAATGTTAACCATATGCTTCCAACTCGTATCAGTAGTAACTTAAATGCTGGCTTGTGAGGATCTTTTGTGATAAAAGCACAAACACATCATGCAATAAAATATTCAGTTTCTCTCTTAAACTGAAAAATGTAAATTATATTACAGTCTTTGAAACACATACTACAATTGTTGGTCAGTGATAATATGTCATTTTTGCTTTACCTTAAATGTTACAGGAAGTGATAGATCAATCTGATGGTTGTGGTGCCAAGTTTTCTGTAATTGTTGTTTCTGATGCATTTGAAGGAAAACCACTACTCCAACGTCACAGGTACTATATTCCCACATATCTAAAATTCAGCGATCAAGAAACAATTGTATGTTTAATACTATATAACTTATTTTTAACAATCTAGGTTGGTAAATGCAGTGCTGGAAGAGGAGCTCAAAACGATACATGCATTTTCTCAAAAGACATTAACTCCAGAACAGTGGGAGAAGCAGAGAAGTTAATTCTCTTTCAGTTCATATGCTGTGTGAAACAATTTTTTATAGTATACAAGAAAAGGTATATAATTATACAAAGATATGTCAAACACTTGTTAATATTCCACTACATTAACTGATAATACATTTTTTTCGCCAGTGTTCAAATAAGACTGTCCAACGTAACCAAATATGATTCAGTTCAAAGTTTCTGCACCAGGAAAAGTAATTCTTTATGGAGAACACGCTGTTGTGTATGGAAGAACTGCAATTGCAGCCAGCTTAGGTTTACGTACAGTTGCAGACTTTATTGAGCTACCAGAAGAGGAACAAGTTATTAAAATATGCTTTCCGAAAGTGAACTTGTTTATAAACATACCTGTGCAACAAGTGCATAGTTTCATTATAAATAATAGAAATTTAAAAGCTGCAGAAAACCATGATGAATTTTATGAGAAAATCAAAGAGCTTGTCGTTATTATCGGGTATTTCAATGTAAGGCAGAAATTGAGCTTAGAGGTATTATTCTATCTTCTTCTTTACATCGCACAGAACGATCAGATTAACGTAAAACCATTTCAAATTCAATTAACCACCGAAATATCGATCGGTTCAGGTCTAGGTAGTTCCGCCTCGTTTGCAGTTTGCATAGCTGCTTGCTTTTTGCACTGGTCACACTTACAGAAAAATATTTTCAAAGCATTCGACAATTCCGATTTAGAGACTATCTCAAAATATGCATTAAGCAGCGAGAGAATTATGCACGGTCATCCGTCCGGAATCGACAATTCCATTTGCACGTATGGATCCGTGATAGAATACAAAAAGGACAGCTACATGAAGTCCATAAATATTACGCAAGTTATGAAGGTTCTGCTGGTCGACACAAGAGTTAGTAGAAGCACAAAAGCGTTGATAGAGAAATTGTCAGAGCTGAAGCACAAATATCCCGTTATAATTGACTTGATCCTGGACTCGATGGATAATATAGCAATTGCGGCGATTAAAGTTATTCAGAAGATTAATAACGCCTCGGGCGTCGATAACGAGACACTCTACGACGGGTACAAACAATTAATGGTAAGTATGTTGTTCGATTAAATTGTTATTACCGATTATGAAAAAGTGGTCATTGTCCCCAATGCCCTGTCAATTTATGCAGATCTTCTTAACGAATATCGTATTATTCCAGACGCTGATTAACATGAATCAAGGATTGTTAGCCACGTGTCAAGTATCTCATCCATCTTTGGATAGAATTTGTGCAGAGGCGCAGAATTATGCTTTAGCAGCGAAACTAACCGGTGCTGGTGGCGGCGGATATGCATACATTTTATTATTACCAGACACCCAGCCGGAAACGATTACAAGTATTTCACGAAAATTGATCGCAGACGGGTTTTCTGTTACGTTGACAACGTTGGGAGGTGCAGGCGTACAAATTCACAAATAAAGCAGTAACTAAATCAATTTTCTCAAACAGTTGTAACGTTGTAAACAAACATTTGTACCGGCTCTCTTCTGTTTTCTGTAAATTTTATTGTTATATGAATACAAATAAATATTAAGGACTATTTCGTTACACTTACATTCCGTTGCTTCGGTAATTTGCACTAACTAGATACAGCATTTTTATGTTACAACCTTTTGAGTCGATGCGTCGCAAAGATGTGTAACATGAAAATTATTAATGGTTAAGGATCTGTCACTGTTAATAATTATACGACGTTGGATGTGTTACGATGCGTTGGTCGTGAGTTTCCTCTAGATCTAAGGTGATCGGATTCGGATATAACGTCCTCCCTAAAGTTCTGATCTGCACTATATACAGGATTCGACAAGTACAATCTTTCAGCCTCTTTAGCTTCTGCGATCCATTCTTTGATTTCGCTTGTATACATTTTCCTTTGCAAAACTTCCCGCGTTCGCGGACGCGATCCAATGAAAACGGTTGTTCCCTGTAATGAGCTTACGTGAACACAAATTAATGAAAAAATTCGACTGTTTATAAACTTACGCCGACTACGAGCGAAGGTCTCAATTTTTCTAGAATCTGAAAATCTTCTATTATACATTGCAACTCGTCCCATCTCAATTCCACTTCTTCATGAAGCATTTTCTCCTCTACAAAGAAACAATAATGTGGAATTAAAAATTAATTCGAATGATAAGTTTTATGATAAGTATAATTACCATCGCGTTTAGATGTCGATTTTTTGTAATGTATTCTAAATCGGAATGCTTCCAAGAAACTGGACACAACGATTGTTAATACAATCATCGTTACCAGATAAAACACCATAAAATATATTCTTGTGTACATGCCAACGGTGAACGCGTAAGCATTCATCAATATGAACCAGTTGTTAACAACTGTTAATTCGAAGAGCGTCATCCCGCTAGCTAAGAGATTATCAAAAGTATTTAAATAGTAGTAACCTAGCGTGGTGCTTTCGTTGACAGAGTACTTGTAGAAATCCTCGACTGTTGTATTTCTGTAGATTTAAGTCTTTCATTTAATTTGCGATATAAACTTAATTTGTATCTAATTATGTTTTTACATACTTGCAGCAATTCCGCATGTTATAACCGGCGAACAGCTCCATTCCAATTATGGCAAAGAAATAATATAAAACCAACATGACCACGGCGGTAGAAGACATCAAAGGAGTCAAAATTACCAGCGTGCCGAAAACGTCTCTGTATCTTTTCTTCATCTTAAATAATCTTAGAAGTCTGAGTGGTCTAAAGAGAACGAAGAACGTTGCTGTTGGGAAAAGACGTAAAATACAGGCTGCTACGAGTGTCATTACTGAGGTGCCTAAATCGAAGAGATTCCATCCGGAACTGAGATACCATCTTGTGCCAAGCCCGAGCACTTTGATCAACGCTTCAGCCACAAATACTGTAATATAAAACACTATAATTATTGTAGACTTAACGGAACATTTGCAAGCAAGGTTTCACTTACCTCCTCCAAAAAGGAAGGTGTCCCATGACGCAGCGAACAAACGAGCACTGTGAACATTGTCATCTGTCTGTAGAATCCTTATTATCATAGCAATGCCATTTCCAACGATCGCGACGTCTGAAAAATATCAGATAAACGTAATCAAATTGAATATATATTTGTTTTAAAAAAAACTTACACATCATAGTCTCGAAGTAGCTCCATCTGATGGCAGCATGAGCTCCGTTGCAGAGGATTTGCAGTGGTTTAGATGTACTGTGATACCAAGGTACGCTGGAGTATTGTGGTTCCCACTGAAGTACTATCGTGTCATAAATGTTCAAAAATTCTTGAGAGCTCAACGCTCCGGATCCAGAAGTATTTAAATGTCGAAAAATTAAAACAATATCTCTTATACCTGTAACAAACAAATAGTCCCTATTTAATTCTTTGACAATGCATTTACGTATGATCATGCATACTTCTTTGTGGTGCGTAGTATCGCATCAACCCCTCGAACTGACGGAATTTCATTTTATCTGGATTCTGTTTTGTGATTAGCAACTTGAAGGCATGCTGGCACGCCTTTCTTTTGTGCAAGAACAATTTTTTAAACTTGTCCCGCTCGGCGGCTGTAAATGTTTCGTTTACTACTGCCAACATTAAATTCATCATCACATATAACATCGTTGATAAGTAAGAGACAAAGTATATTGCGTACCACTTGTTTTTTGAATATGACGGCATCATTACATCTGGAAAACTAAGCAATGACATCATTACCGAAAAAGAAATATTTTTATCATAGATGTATTCGATCGCACTGCAAGATAATCATTTGATAATACTTACTTAGCAGTGGTGAGAAGAACAAAAAGACTTACAAAGCTGTCTTGCAGCGTGGAGAAATATCTGTTCATGTCGGAGAACATGTAATAGCCCAATACTGTGTAAAGTGTAATAAAAAATAGAAGCAAACCCATCATATCCAGGATTGGAGGCAATGTCTGAAGTATTTGTCTGATGAATCTTCGCACACCTCCGAAACATTTTGTGTCTACTAAAAAAATAGGCCTAAGAGCGCGTGTTACGCGAAAATGTGACGACTGTCTTACTAAGACCGTCATTGCCTCCAGAAACATGATGGCCAATGTGGCACACTGTAAGAAAAATTCAATGAGTCATTAATTAACATTGACTCATTATTGTATAATTATATATGGAAGTTCTAAGTTTGCTATAAAAACATTTAATTAACAATCATATATTAATCGATTGCATAAGAGAGATGAACGCCAATGACCTGTTAATAGTAACTTAATACTGATTCATTCATGAGTAGATTTAGACTCAACAGTTAAATAATGTAAGAAATAAGCAGCTCGATTATCAGAAACTTATTTTGTTGAAAATATAAAGTGGCTTATCTTCCCATTAGTACTGTCATGTTTCTTGTACCAGTACAGTGGAAAAGACTCATGTTATTAAACATATTACTTGCACGTAAAGAGACAATGGATATAATCAGGTCCATTCTATCCCTGTATAATTTGGAGTGGCACTTAATTTGTGATAAAGGCTGGCAAAATTAGAGTTTTTACCTTCAACATTGTTCTTTTATGCTTCAACATAGTTGCCCAGCCAATCCATCTTAATTTTAAAGTTAATTCAATGCCTATAATTATCAAAGCAAAAAGCTCTATTGACCCATGCGCCCATACTGGTATCTAAAATAAGATACGTGAACTACAGAGATAGTACAACAACAGGAAACTATTGTTTGAGCTTTACAACTTACTTTAAATAATGGTACAGCTGGCTCCTCCACGAGAGCCAAAGCTAAAAGTAAAAGTGAGGTCAACAAATCTAGACCATAATACCAATTATTGTGAACCAATAGATAGGCTGGCAAATCTTCTGGGTGCTTTGGATGTGATTCGAATTTTTCATTGTTTCTACCTTCCTGTGAAAACAATGCCACTGTAATTACCATAAACGGTAGAATAAACTTAAATGGATAATATATGACAAACATGGATACCTCTAAAAATATTGCTGCCTTGTGATAATTCATTTCCCAATATAAATCATGATCTGAAAGGGTATCATGCAAAGGAAGTACAGCATTATTAGTCATGGTATCACTTTCTATTTCATCGGTATCAAATTGTTCTGGCAACTGATTGCTTTCACTATTGCCTAATGGTGAATTTATGTGCTTCCCTGGGAAAGAATATGACAACATTGATCCATATTCTAAAATAAACAAAAAAAAAAAGTAAAATAAAATAACTAAGCAATAAAATTGTATTTGCACAGAAAATTATAATCTTTAAGAAAACTAGCTAATTAGAATGATTTTGAAAATATTGATATTTACGTAAATTATGTATATCCGTGAAAACGATAAACAATAATTAAAATCTAAATCTGTACAGAACAAAATTATAATTTACTTTATCCAACGTAAACAAATAAGAAGAGTGACGATAGATGTCAATCAAGGCATTTTCAATCGTAAATTGTTAATAAACAAAAAAATTAATTTCTATTCCTTTGGTACAACAAATACCACTTACTTTGATTCGATTGTTCGGAGATGTCCTGCTCGAGCGACACGTTCGCTCCATCGTCAAAACGTTGGTAATTGTCTGTGTATTCGGAAGTTTTCGGGGAAGACATTTGAGAACGGTGTGTCACATGTCATATGTACCGAGCACGCATACCGTTCGTTAATGAACACTTATTTACGTTAGCGTAACAAGCGTACAGCGTCGTTACCGTTCAGAAACTGAACACCGACTGGATTAAATGGAAAAAATCTTCTCGGGATGCGTACATATTCTCGTATGACAGATATTACATATTATAATGTCATAATATAATACCAAGGCGACGTTATTCGATTCCCTTGTGTTTGACGTTTCAGCACGCGATACGCAAGCGCGCTTATGCGAAGCGGATTTATCCACTTCAACCATCAGTATCGCGAGACTACAGTACTATAGTATTGAAGAAAATTTTCCCCTCCTTTTTCTTTGTGATGTAACAGATGCAACCAGTATTATCTACCGATTAAAGCAAATCGTAGTCTGTATTTCCAGGGGCCAAACAGTCCGATCGGAAGCTTCCCAAGAACGATTTAATAATAACGACTTGAATTTTCATGATGCAAAATCGTTTTTTTCATCGATAAACATGCTTTACAAGGTAACAAACTTTTAACGAAGTCATTAAACGGATTTTCATCTGTTACTATTTGATCCTTAATGGTGTAACTCCTCTAAAAGTTAAGTAGAACGGCAAGATGTTAATTATCTTGCAAAGGACGACAGCAAATGAAGGTTAATACATGCAAAGTCTAATAATAATAACGACTTGAATTTTTATGATGCAAAATCGTTTTTTTCATCAATGAACATGCTTTATAAGGTAACAAATTTTTAACGAAGTCATTAAACGGATTTTCATCTGTTACTATTTGATCCTTAATGGTGTAACTCCCCTAAAAGTTAAGTAGAACGGCAAGATGTTAATTATCTTGCAAAGGACGACAGCAAATGAAGGTTAATACATGCAAAGTCTAATAATAATAACGACTTGAATTTTTATGATGCAAAATCGTTTTTTTCATCAATGAACATGCTTTATAAGGTAACAAATTTTTAACGAAGTCATTAAACGGATTTTCGTCTGTTACTATTCGATCGTTAATGGTGTAACTCCCCTAAAAGTTAAGTAGAACGGCAAGATGTTAATTATCATGCAAAGGGCGACAGCAAATGAAGGTTAATACATGCGAAGTCTAATAGAACACTTAAGTAGTAAACTATATAAGATTGCACTAACATTCTAACGTTAGATTTCAGTAAAGCTAGACTTAAGTAATTAAATTAATTTAAATAACTTTTTAATTATTTGCGTAATATGAGTACACATGATTATCGTTGGAAGTCCCGTAAGATACCGTATAAATTCTGGCAAGATTTATTTGCTCTATAAAATGTAAAATTAACACCATTGGAGAATCTGCTGTATCGACATTAGACACATATGTGAAAAAAAATGGTTGGCAACGCCGCAATTTCAAGAAGTAATTAATTCTGTTTTGCGGTATTGTCGTCTTGTTTCTTATGTGATATTGATGTGCTATTACCAGCAGCGGGACCAAGCCGGTGATTCTGTTGCATGATGACAATGCAGGACCGCACACACTAAAAGAAACACCGACCGCTGCAATATTACTTGGTCAATTCTCTCTTCAAATCTCTCGGGGTGATCCAAACAAGCGGTGGTTTAAAACCACCATGTTTTTATAAGATCAGGATTCGTCAGCTACCCAAAAAGTAGGAGAAGTGTATAGAATGTTATAGTAAACCCAGAAACGTAATGTGTATTGTTTTTTATATATAAACATCGAAAGTATCCTAAAAAGATATCAAACTTATTTATACAGCAAAAAGTCGATTTATCGTTTACATATAGAGAAAATTGAATATTTATTACAGCTACAGATGATTCTTACCGAGTCAATCATGTAGAAAATAATGTGTATGGAAAATGGTATAAATTCTATCAATTTAATGGTTACTTTGAAGAAATATATATATATACTTTGATAGATATATAAGATATATATATATATATACTTTGAAGATATCGAAATGGTATCTAAAATGTTTAATGAAAATTTAAAAGTAGCGGAATTTGTTACAAGTAGCGCCGTTTGTGGTAAAATTTCGAAACAGAATTAAGGGGATCATACAGCGCTATTGAATGTAGTGACAAAACGTTCAAACTGGTAGACAAGTTACTGATTGCAGATAAAGAGCATTTCCAGAGATACGTTACTCTGTCGGTAAATTTGTTAAACAGTTTGAGCGTTTTCGCACTACTTGCAATGGCACTGTACAGACCTGTTTAAAAAGCGTGACAAATGTGAAATGTTGTATGAAAGATTATTGAAAAGCTTACTTTTAGCATGTCTGTATTAAACAAATTTTTCTACTTCTGTAAGTTCGAATCACAACAGCGCTATCGCGCTGTTTTGTGTGTCGCGCTCAACTTTACTGAGGCACGTACATCGCGCATAGCTGCTTTTCTTTGTTTTGATTGTCAACATTGACAAGCACCATCGCGCCGCTTGGTTCTCTGCGCAATCGCAGGGCGCCATTACGCTGTTCAGCATTTTTCAACCGTGTTCCCTCAATAACCCTTGGGACTCAACGGTTAAAGAAACTTGTTCTTTATAAAGAAAATTGAATTATTCATACAGTTTAAACGAATCGTATATGAACGAAATGATTGCGGCTATAATACACAATTGTCAGCACCAACGTACTTTTTAACACGATTATATGTTTAGTAAATACCGGGTGTCACCGGCCGGTTAGTATCGTTAGGCAGATTCTGCGTGCAAAAATAAGTCGAAAAAAAGGAATAACATTTCTTTCGGTCATTTTTATTCTTGGTAGGCTGAAGACAGATGAAAGAACAACGAACATGAAAACATAAATGAAAACGATCATGTTACGTGCCGCGGCTTGTAACAATTTTTACACTGGATTTTCTCGTAAACGATGCTTCAAATGAAAAAATGTATTACTTTTTTCGACTTATTTTCGCACGTAGGATCACTTTCTACCCGATGGCATTACCTGTCCGCCAAGAATCGGTAAAAACAATTAAATATTGTGGCTTTTTTAATATTAACAATATAAAATATTCGGAATAAGGATTCATGAAAACGGGAAACAAGCACATAGAAATTTCAAGTATCAGTAAATTTTATTAATAACATAAAAAAAACATTACAGTTGTTCATACTGGTAGCTAGTACGTATACGTATACATATATATATATATATGTCACTGATTTTATCAGAACAATGCGTGAATTATGAAAAACAGAACGACAGCAGCTTACAGTGCATTACATCCTTCTCTAAATTACATCCTTCTCTAACACACACACATACGATATACTTGCTGATAACATGAAAATACTGAAAAAAAATGTAATTATATAGAACGATAACTAGGAACGTGAATAAGAATGATAGTGATTAGATATATTTGAGAAAATCGCTTCATTTCTTCTCTTCCTTTGTCTCCTCTTCCTTCTGCTGCTTCTGTTTCGCCGACCTCGTTTGAACCGCCGGCTTGCCGGTGTGTTCGATCTGGATAACCCTCTCGTTCTCTATCTTTGGCTGATCCTTTCTCGGTGCGGAGATGGTAAGTACACCATCCGACGAAAGCTTCGACGTCACCTGGTCGAGGTTGCACTGATCGGGGATCATGTATTTCCTGGTGAACTGACGGGAAATCCAGCCATGTTCGTCTCTCTTCTCTTCGTGTTTCGCCGTTACGATCACATATTTGTCGGCCACCTTGACATCGATCTCTTCAGGCTGAAATTGTTGAACGTCGAGGACGACCTGGAACTTGTCCTTGTCGGCCTGAACGGTCGAGGTGCCCGGTTCGTTGGTACGCAGCAGCTCGTGCCACGGTCTGCAATAGTTCGGTCTTCGCCGTGGTTGCAAGTACATCTCCAGACGACTCGGTGTCAGAAGTTGGTCAGGATAAAGGCCCAAACCGAAGTTCTGATCCAACAGACGATGAGGTTGGTCTAAATCCTCCCACCAGTCGGAGAACAGCAGCGGTACAAGAGACATTTTGCAGTTGTTTCAACGAGAATGTCAAAATATCAGGATTTCGCTTCAGAATAAACCGAAGATTTGGCTCACGCTTTCGAACTTTACCGCTCGGCTGCTGTCTGAATACTGAGGCTTCTCCGCGACGCCGGTATTTATATACGACGCGCACAGCTTGTATCGATTCTCGAGTTTTCGAGAATATCGAGAATGTACTAGAATGCTTTCTATGCTGTGCACGGTTATATACAATGTATGCATGTAGATACGTACCAGATAAACAAAGATGCAATATAAAGAAACAACCTGTACGAAAGAATAATAATTCTATCTTTCTACAATTTTGAAATTTTATGTAGAACAATATTCATTTTCGAATATAACCGTTTACAGCCGTGGCTAACGAAGCGCAGGAAAATATAAAATAGTGTGCTGCTCTTTTCGCGTACATTTCTGTACGATATGAAATTTAATTATTAAGAATCTTTGTTACAATATAATGATGTAAGATTTGTTCTTCGTGGTTGAATATGCACAGCTAAATAATTTAATTTCTGGAAGATACGACTTCGAGAAAATTCTACGCGATGCTGGAACACTACTGCCCCCACTAGGACACTGCTCGAAGCGAGCAAGCGTCAAACCAAACGGTCCAAACGTCAACCGTCATATTGCGTCCGTTGCGAATACGGGTACATTCGAAAGAAACTTTGCGAGAAGTCTTCCGATCGTAAGTGTTGTATTCGAAATACGTTTCTATGACCGTTAATTGAAATATTTTGGGAGTGTCGATTCTAACTAATACTTTCTATCATAGCATTTATTATCATCAAAAGTATCATAGAAGAAGGAAAAGGAATGTCTCTGTTACCGGTGTTATTCTCGAACTGGTGGGAAGATCTGGAAAGACCTCATCGTATCTTCGATCAACATTTTGGATTGCCACTGAGCATCGAAGATTTACCGACTCCTAGATCGCTCGCGCCAACGGATACCGATATTTTGATCCTGAGGCCTCGTCGCCGTGGCTATCACAGATATCAGCCTTATGAAAGAAGCGTCGACCGAAAATCTAGTGGAGTATCTACGATAGATGCTGACAAGAATAAATTCCAAGTAACCTTGGATGTTCACCAATTTGCTCCAGACGAAGTCAAGGTTAAAGTCTTAGGGAAAAGTGTAGTTGTCGAAGGGAAGCACGAAGAGAAGCAGGATGAGCATGGTTGGATATCGAGGCAGTTCGTACGAAAATACTTTGTGCCTGAACAATGCGAAATCGATGAACTCAAGTGTAGCCTCTCGTCCGATGGTGTCTTGACTATTACATCGCCACGGAAGGATCAGAATTCGAAATTAGAGAATGAAAGAGTTATTGAAATTGAAAATACAGGAAAACCTGCATTAAGGGAGGAAGCAAAGCCCTCGGAAAAAGAAAACCAGAACGAAGTTCCAGTCCAAAAGAATTCTGTCCAAGAGAGAACAAGAGCACAAGAGCAGACTGTAAAGGCAGCTTAAGAAAACGTTCATTTAAGTTTTATATTATATAATATAAGTATTAACCTTAAAGTATTAACATTCATTCATCTTTTAATTTAAGAATTATCAGAATACACAAATCTTTCAAGAAAACTTTTATTTACGTTTTTTACATGCAATTGATTCCTCAAAAAATAATTTCTAAAGTCATCTTTAAGTTTATAAATTATATATACGTATGTATAACAGAAAACAATGCGTTCAACTGGTACTATATAAGACTTGTTTAAAACTTACGCTATTTAGTGTTAATTTGCTATAAAGCATTTTATAATAAAAGATGGTTTTTGTATAATAATGTGTATTTACTCGAATATGTAATCGTTTTAAAAGATTGGTATTTATTAAATATTTATTATGATTATTTATAATTTAAAACACATAGCAAAAGATAGAAAAACTAATTTATACTATTTAACATACATTTTAAAGTAATTCTATTTGTTTAACCATGGACGGCAGTTCGATATCTAAAGTTATCTAATAAAATTTTATATCAATAGGTTGTCAAGTAAAATAACAAAGGATGTATTTTACCATAATGTTGTACAACATTTTCACTTATCCTCTGAAAAGCCAACCTATCACATATCAAAATAGTTTTATCAGAGTTTGAGGTATTATTCATATAAAAAGTAGCATTAGCTTTTGCTGTGTCATTTCCATAAATATTTTTGGACGGAATTAATCAGACTTTCAATTACAGAGTTTTAAGTTACATAAAATGGCTTTTATGCAGAACAACCTTATTAATATGACAGATCAACTTCCAATCTCGTGCAGTAAAATTACTTTACATTAAAAATGCTTATTTACATTATATACAACTGTATCGAGTACTCAGAAAAATAGTTGTACTTTATATATATATGTAAATAAGTTTAACCTGAATATAATTTGAATTTGATTTTTTTCAAATTTACATAACAGAAGCTAAATCTATACAAGCTTATTTTAGGCATCGTGTAACGTATAACCATTTTATGTAGTAAATTGTTGTGCCACGATAGCTATTAGCAATAAGAATGTCGGTATTACAGTAGTAGTAGCACCATTGCATCTATGATCAAAGTAACAGAAACACCATGTTACTTCATCGTAATAGTCTCTATGAATATCTAACTGATGAATGGAATTGTTTACGTAATGTCCCAAATGGAGATCTTTAGCAGCAGGTCGGCAACCTTCATAGCGATCAGCTGGCATATCTTTTCTAAAGCTACGAACAGAGCTCAAGCATTCTCTTGTTATAACTGTCTCGGCTGAAATGCATATAACAATCCGGATTAACAAATATATATATACATATGAGTGAAGTCACGTACCTCCTTTCCTCTCAATTATCTTTACACACTTATCATCGTATTCTGGACAGGTTTCACCCCAATACCACCACCAATTGAAAGGTGTGCCACACCCAGGATGATTACTATTGCATCTGTAGCAGTATAAACTTTCCCCTGTAAGTATTATTTGCATTATAAAGAAACCTATATCAAATTAACCACACCCCGCAAACAACGAACACATAATTTGTTGTTATACCTTCGTTAATAAGTAAACTTAGGAAGACGACAACACAAATTGTTTTATACATTTTTATGTAGCAGTAATGGTCACTGTGAATGCGTGTTTAATAGAGATTAAATTTATAAATTCAGTTCTATGACAGTAATTTGAAAATGCAACAAAACAATTAGAAACGCTTCCCATGCCACATGAATGACGAGATGACGCGAGTGGACGCGAACGAACACGAGCCGCGAGTATTTAATGCCAGCTTATACGCTTTTGATTTGTTCTGTTCTGGACAAAATGCGAGTTGAACTATATGTCATTTCAATAAGAGAATTTATGGACGCGTATGAAATCATTCAGATATTAGGTCATTGATATTTTATAAGTATATGTTATCATATTTAATATGTATACATATTGCATATTGCAATATTTGAATATACGATGCATCACAAACTACAATATACTATGTACGCGCACGTATACATATGTACAAGCATAGCGCAATGCATGCAGGGATACGAATGCGTACATAAACCTAACTGACATGTATGCTGTGCCTCGTCGACTTCTGTAGTCTGATTCACTGCCTTACCGACATAGAGAGATTCAATACTGATCCGAGCGTCCTCTACTCACGAATAACGGTTGATCGAAATACTATTTATTAAAGCAGCATGAGTGTAAGCACAAACAAAAGTCCGAGCAAACGAATGCACAATTGTTTTGACAAGAAAATTGAATTAAAAATTGAATGATACAGAAGTGCAAAGGCGTTTCCTAATTATACTTTTAGAATAAGATAGATATATTTTATGTATAAATAGTTATGAAATTCACAATTTAAGTAACATTTAAGTAACAACCAGTTGCTTGCGAACGGTATCTTTCAAAGTTCAAAGGTATGTGAACTAAATCCGTATCATACATGCAAATGTATTTATAGATTAATTTAGAACAATCGAAACGGTTATTCTACAATATACTTGTTTAACGTTGACGATATCTCCTTCATATTTGGTCTCTACATTTTCGAGTCATTGATTATATTTGTATACGTACGTGTACGATAAGTTTGCAGTTATCTCGCATACGATAAATGTGAAATTAAAATGCTATTTTCACGTATGGATATGTTCGCTATCTATTTTAACAACTAAAGAGTTACTAGGAATATATATACTTGGTCACACGAGAATGTAGAATGTATGGTAAGTGGAAATGTATCGCGGGGTTTTGTTCGTACAATCGAATACATTTCATAATTTTTCACAAATACAGTTTCGCTACCGTGTTAAAATTTAAGAAAAAAAAGTCGTAATTAATGAAGAAGCTTTGATCCCTCATTAGTTCTAGCGTCTAGGGTACGTAAATGCTTCGTAAAAGTTACTGGAATAAACTTATTCAAATTTTGCAGGCCTATTATTTAAATATGTGTAGGAATAACACGCGGATCAAGATAATATAATCATCAATATAATCATCAGATCAAGATAATAATACAGATTCGGTAATTTTTAAATAAAATGCTTCGTAAAAGTTACTGGAATAAACTTATTCAAATTTTGCAGGCCTATTATTTAAATATGTGTAGGAATAACACGCGGATCAAGATAATATAATCATCAATATAATCATCAGATCAAGATAATAATACAGATTCGGTAATTTTTAAATAAAATGCTTCGTAAAAGTTACTGGAATAAACTTATTCAAATTTTGCAGGCCTATTATTTAAATACGTGTAGGAATAACACAGAGCAAGATAATATAATCATCGATATAATCATCAGATCAAGATAATAATACAGATTCGGTAATTTAATAAAATATTAATTACATATATAAAAATATAATTTAATAAAATTTATTAAAATATCGAAAATCGTTTGATAGGTTTAGCATCGAAGGAATGCGATCAACCTGAATGGAAGAGGAGAGAGGATCATTTAATTGGGTCTAGGACAGCGATACGTCTTTCCGGAAAGCATCGTGAATCCGTGACTGCTGTCCTGTCACGCAGGAAGATAGAAAACTCTTTATCTGTGAAAGATGAGCGAGTACAGCTGCAGCTGCAGCGGCAACAGCTGGAGGATGACTAACGACCGAAGAGACGCGGATTGCGGAGCGAAGCATAATTTCCAGTCGGCGGGAGGTCAACCTTTCGGTAAGAACGATACGACAACTCATTGCGTATACGGGTCGCTTTTTTCCCCTCCTCTATCCTTTCTTTTCCCTTCCTCCGGGCCGTTCCTCCTATCTTGTTGTCCCCAAAACTCGTGCAGTGTATCCGGAGTATTCCGGAGTGTGCTTAGAGCCATCACATGGTATTTTGCACTCGCCACAAGTGGTCAAGGTATTTACGACTCCCGAAAGATAAACGCTTTTCCTGTAATAGAAGACTTTTGGTAACGCGTACACACACGATGAAGTTACTTTTGCTGGACACAATTCGGTCGTTACGTAAAAACTCTTACTAGACCAGCGTTGATAGACTCGAAAGGGAAACGAAAGTTGAAGAGGCTGAGGACACGCGCGGACCTTGAATCATTCTCATCCGCATTAAAGAGACCGCGCGCTACTATTGTATGAGTTTACGGATCAATAGAAAGTGCGTATTTCAGTGCAGCGATATTCTAATGCAGTTTGGATAATATCGCGTTACCGTCGCCGTGGGGCTAACCGAAGAATGACCGAAAGCTCGGATGCGTAGCAACGTTCCGATCGTTGGAATATTTATTACTCTCGTTAAAATATAGTTACGAAATAATTATTATATATTAATAATATTATATATATATATTAATAATTATTATATAATATATATTATATTTTAATTATATAATAATTTATAATAATTATTATATATATTATATATATATATATATATAATAATTTATAATAATTATTATATATATTATATATATATATATTATTATTATTAATATATATAATAATTATTTCGTAACTATATTTTAACGAGAGTAATAAATATTCCAGTGATCGAAACGTTGCTACGCATCCGAGTTGCTACGCATCATATATTATATATATGATATAATAATTATTATATATATTATATATATTAATAAAATATTGAAATTATATATGAAGCTGTATAATTGTCAAATATTTTCTCCTAGAGGCAAGATCGGAAAGTGCATTGTTGCGTAATTAGTGGAAAGTACAGCATCGATTAGGTGATGGTGAACGAATTCCACGTTGCTCTTCGTATCTCTTGTGGGGCACAGTGGTCGGAGTGTTTGGAAACCGGACACCGAACGGCTAAACAGCGGCTCGGTAAACCGCACGATTGGCACGGGCTCATAAAATGTTCGTTTAGCAACGGACTGAAATCGGTAATAAGATTCGCAAATCGGTAGACGCGTGTGTTCGCGAGGTCTCTGCACGGCGAGACGGTATAACGATGAGAATCGGGGGACCGTGAGTCATCTACAGGTGCCCATAAACAATTCCAAGACGTGTAAATGATCGTAGGCAGTACAGCAACAGCATCAGTAGCGGCAACAGCAGCGTAGCAGCCGCAGCTTCGAATCGCACCCTTTGACTTTCCGAGGCGACGCGCAACAGTTGGGTCGGCGTCGAACAAACGGAACAAGCAACAAGCATCGCGCCGATATCCGGTGCACAGTTGACGGCCAATCGAAACGATCATGGTACCATGAATAAACATCGAGCTGTTAAAAAAAGAACGCGATCGTAAATTGTTCGTCGTAGTCAGAACGCCTGTTTCCGCCGTCGAAAATGTGGAGTCTGCTGAAGGAATGCTCCGAACAGTTCCTGCTGCTGGGACTGTTCCTAGGGATTTTCTACTATTTCTTCACGACCACGTTCAATTTCTGGGAAAGCCGCGGCGTGCCGTTTCGAAAGCCGATCGTGCTCTTCGGAAATTTCGCGCCTCTGCTCTTATTTCGCGAGTCACTGCCGGAATGTATAAAGGAGATGTACGAGTGGTTCAAGGACGAACGATTTTTCGGAGTGTTCCGAGTTCGGTCGCCCGTCCTGATCCTCCGCGATCCCAATCTGATCAAGGATATCTGCGTGAAGAATTTCTCGTGCTTCTCGAACCGCGGTATACCGGTGAATTCGCAGGTAAAACTATCAACCGTATCGGTAACCATCTGTCCCGTAGTTCTCAGGAATCGATGGCGAATGTTTTTCGAATATCTAAATGTATCGACGACCGTTAACGTAATTGTGGGATCGATAAATCTTGTTTGTTATTGTTTCGAACCAGGATCCATTGTCCGGCCACCTGTTCAACCTCGAGGGCAAGAAGTGGAAGAGCCTCAGGGCTAAGCTGACCCCGGCCTTCTCCTCGGGCAAATTGAAGAGGATGTTCTATTTGTTGGAAGAGTGTAGCGAAGAATTCCAAAAGCTGATCGACGAGTCCTCGAAAACTGTCCGGCCGATCGAGGCCCGCGAATTAGCTGCGAAATTTACAATAGACGTCATCGGTACCTGCGCGTTCGGCATACAGATCAATGCTCTCACCGACGAGGAATCCGAGTTCCATAGAGCTGCCAAGAAACTTTCCAAACCGAGCTACAAGACCACGCTTTGGAGGATGCTCAGAACCGCCGTACCGAAACTTTACAAGTTTCTCGGTGTTCAGGTCATTGATCCGGGGGTGACGGAATTCTTCAAGAACGTCGTGTCGCAAATGATCAGCCAGAGACAAAAGCACGCTGTCAAGAGGTACGACTTCATGGACCTGTTGATCGAGCTGAAGAACAAAGGTACCTTGGAGAACGACTCGGGAACCGGACAAACCGATAACATGAACGATGGAGAGGCCGCCGAGGAAATAGGTAGATACAATTCGCTGCGGTCAAGTTGCGAGCTGCGAGTTGTGAAATGCGAATTGCGGGTTGCCAATTTGCGAGTTCAAACTTGATGTACCACTATATAGCGATACGCCTATCTATCGCGTAGCTGTTTTCGTGCGTAGATAAGTGACTCGCCTATCGGAAGAGAATGTTTCCATTCAGCCGAACTGCCTGGCGACCATAGTGCTTGCTTACAGTCGTTCGTTTCTACTCGGACCGATATCTAGGATCAAACATTTCATTTGTCTAATTAACTCGAGCTTTGAATTCGCGCAGAACGGAAGTTAAACGGAAGCGAAGTCTTCTCTAACGATAAGCGTGCTGTGTCATTCTCGAACGAATCAATTTTATTCACCGAACAACGGTACAGATATATGAGCCGTTGTTCGGTTAATAAAATTGATTAATGGTAACATTATAAACAAATGGTAACATTATATATTATTTTGAAAAAGTGACTTATGCCACTTTCAAAATAAACGGCTCATATTAGGCACGATAATATTACACTATTAGAATCGATGCGAGTTGTTGGTAACGCGTTCGGAGTAGTTACGACACGCTTCTTTAAATGATATGGTTTTATAGCAAATTAATCAAGATAACATTATTGGCAAGTGATAACATTGACGAATCGATTGGCCTCTGTGTTCTCGTGGATGGAAAAGAAAGTCTACGTGTTATATTAATTGGACGGTCGATTAAGTTCGCTCGAACTCGGGTTCAGACTACTTTTAAGATTATGCATTCGATTATCCGTTGCAAAAGAATGATTCGAAATGAAAAAAAAGAAAACACCTTATTTGAAATCTCAATAACTAATATGAATCATTATTTAAGAGGATGCATTCGCTAGGATCCGTTGCAAAAGAATGATTCGAAATGAAAAGAAAAAAAAGCACCTCATTTGAAATCTCAATAACTAATATGAATCATTATTTAAGCGAATGCATTCGCTAGAATCCGTTGCAAAAGAATGATTCGAAATGAAAAAAAACACCTCATTTGAAATCTCAATAACTAATATGAATCATTATTTAAGAGGATGCATTCGCTAGGATCCGTTGCAAAAGAATGATTCGAAATGAAAAGAAAAAAAAGCACCTCATTTGAAATCTCAATAACTAATATGAATCATTATTTAAGCGAATGCATTCGCTAGAATCCGTTGCAAAAGAATGATTCGAAATGAAAAAAAACACCTCATTTGAAATCTCAATAACTAATATGAATCATTATTTAAGAGGATGCATTCGCTAGGATCCGTTGCAAAAGAATGATTCGAAACGAAAAAAAAACACCTTATTTGAAATCTCAATAACCAATATGAATCATTATTTATAGAATTGAACGAAAACAGTATCGCCGCGCAAGCGTTTGTGTTTTTCGCTGCCGGTTATGAAACGTCGTCGAACACAATCGCGTTTTGCCTTTACGAGCTGGCACTGAACAGTGAAATTCAAGAAAAGACGAGACGAGATATTCGCGATGCTATTGAGAACGGAGACGACAAATTAACTTATGACGCTGTCCAGGACATGAAATATCTTGACATCGTTATTGCAGGTAATATAGTAGTTACTACTTGTTCCGTACATTCTGCATGAAATCTTCTTTTCGCAAGAGAATGTTCCAAGGTCTCGACGATACGAACGAGAATTGATTTCTGAAACGAAGTGCAAATTCGGTTTTTGACTATTGCGTTCAGAATTAAATACATATTGTTATCGCATGTCGGGTTACGGATTCTAATCTTTGATCAGTTCTGGTGACACATTCCAATGAATTTTGTTCGTGGCGCAGCGCTTTGAATTCGCTTGAAATTTGTTCAGCCTGCGAGAATTAAGGATAAAGTATCGCGAAGGTATTTCTGTTAACACTTTGGAAAATTTTGTTTCAGAAACCCTGAGAAAATATCCTCCTGCGGCGATGCTGTCTCGCAGATGCGAGTATCGGTACCAAATACCTGGCACGAAAGTCGAATTACCGGCTGGCATTCGGGTGATCATACCGATTTACGGACTCCATCATGATCCTGAGTACTATCCGAATCCCGCGACGTTCGATCCAGAGAGATTCACGGAGGAAAATAAACGATCAAGACCACCATTCACGTATCTCCCGTTCGGAGAAGGGCCACGCAACTGCATAGGTAACTTGTTCGCCAAGTATTTCAAGTATTTCAAGTGTTTCTAATCGGCATCTAAGCTTATCGTTTCTAGAAACCGAAACTGAAATTATTGATTATCGATATTATGGTATTGATCCGTTAACAAAGAACAATGTGTAGTAATTAGGCAATCGGTTGTGCCAGATAACAAGTTTTACCAGATAAGCTTGGCGATTTCAGGAATGCGATTTGCTCTGCTGCAAATCAAAGTAGGAATCATTTCATTTCTAAGAAACCATCGAGTGGAGACCTGCGAACGAACAGCCACACCGATCAAATTCAGTAGACGGAGCAATGTCACGACCAACGAGAAAGGATTCTGGTTAAGGATCGTACCAACTTCGTAAATTCGTCAATTTCTCCGCTAGCTTTAAAATATTTCAATAAAACAAACGAAACATCGATATTTAATACACGTTATACAATCGATAAATATATGTACTTTATATAATATATATATAATGTATATATAATGTATAATGTACTATATACATATAATGTACTTTTCGTACTTAACATGCATATGTGTAATATCTTTTCTATACTTTCTTTTTTATCACATTCGAAAGTCAAAATAACGGTGATTTATTCGCTTGACTTTAACGTAAACAATATTTCCTGCAACATCAAGCAGCCGATTCCAATATTTTATTGAAAAATAAAAATAATTGGAGCTCTTTTTTACTGCTAAATATTGTGTCATTGATTGACATAACCTTTATAACAACAAAATTTTTATATTTTTATAGATGTTCTCTCTATAGTAGAAAGAAAATAATTCTCATCTACTTGGTGTAACAATGTACAAATGTCAGATATATGTACATAATATATTTTATAAACAATAATAAAGTTGTATAGTAATTCGTTTCGTTTTTATTATTGTAATAGCTATTACGATACTACCTATATTCATGCATGTTTGAACATCGAAATGCGCTGCTGAACAGACACGATATCCTTAACTGTAAACTGTTTAGCAAACCTACGCGTTCTAAACAAATAAGGTTTGGTATCGATACTGTACGGATTGGTCAGCTGATCGATCGAAATGAATTGATATTCCGAATTGCATACCGTCACCGTCTCAATTTCAGCCACGATACAGTCAATTCTTTCGTGCCATTCCTTTCATTCGAACATGTATTGATTATAAGATCTGTCGTATTGTCGTATGTACACAAGGATGCGAGAACGTATGTCGCGTAGTACATTTCGTTCTATGTACAGACAATACATAAACACGTTTGCGAGTGGTCGACTGCCTTCAGCTCGTGCATACATATGTACATACATTCATACTGTCTATTGGTGGCAGCAGCTTCAAGTCAGTGCACTCTTCGTTCAGTTCGTTCATAAAGGGATATTTGTATGTAGGTAACCACCACGTACGCACGGTGGTCCGTTTGCAGTGCTTGCACAGGACGGCCAATAATAAGATAGAAAATGTTATTTCCTTGATTAGATGACAGTGCTTTTTTGTAATCGGTATTATTCTACAGTGCTGCGATTTTCTGCGACACCTGACAGTGGGATATCGCGCTAAGATATAATGCTACGGTGAGCCGTATATCTGTTTACTTATGTCTACGTCGTAGACGCGTAACACTTCCGTCTCTTTAAATTGATAACTAATCCCTTTAACACGGACGGATTCTATATTAACGATACCTTCGCGTTCCAACAAACCACAGTGAACGTCTCGTAAACAATAAATATCTTAACTACCTCGACTGATACATTTCAATGAATTTATTACTTTATATTCTGTGAATGTCAATATGTCGGTGATTCCTTGTCAATGAGTACTTGTAAAAGAATTACTTTTTAATAGTACTGTTGTCGTGATATTGGCAGAAAGAGAATAAAATTATTTTCGTACTCATACTTCGAGTATAGGTTAGAACGATAATGTATAAAAGAAGTATCCCTCTTTGTTCATTGTTGCTTTGTTATATTTTAGTGCAATGATTATAGGATGATTATTTATTATTAATAACGCGTCAATATATGGATACATCGAGGCCATATCTAAATTTATGTCTAATTGTTTCTATTGTCCTTTAATGTACTAACAAGTGTCTAATTTAATTATAGATGTCACACTACAACAGAAACCCAGGTAGTCAGAGATCTACGGTGATCGATTATGAACGCCAATTCCAAGAGGATCTAGAACGTGCACAAGCATTGAGTTTAGAGAGTCTTGCTCTAGAAAAATTTAAGTTACAGAAAGAACGCTCTGAATTTAGTAATATTCGACAGAATAATGTAGATAGAGGAAATAGTATTGTACATAGCGGCTCATCGGAAACGGACAGTGTGCAGCATATTGAAAAGTAAATAAAACTGTTCAAATACTTGGCATGTATATGATATTTAAGTGGAAATTCTAAGAGTAGAAATTACAGATTTCAGTATAGAAGTCGACCGAGGCCAGGAGCCTTTAATACCAATCAATCTAAAAATGCTGTGATATTAGCACCACCGCCGATTCCATCTAGGCGAAATTCAACGTCAGTTGCAGCAAGTCAGGAACAGTCCGATGATTTGATTAATTTTACCAGTCCAGTAAAACAAGATACTCTAACTGATTCACTTTGTTCGCCACCGCCTCCTCCTCCTTCATCGTAAGATCTCGATTCTAACATTTTCATATAATACTATCATTTGAATAATATAAATTAATAACAAAGTTACTCTCTCTCTTATTCGACAGAAAACCAGTAATAGAACCAAAATGGGAAACTCATCCAACATTATTGAAAAAACAAGCGAGAGTAGCACGTAGTAGTAGTTCTGCTGGTTATCATTCTAGAGACTTCCGATATCAGTCGCTTTCTCCAGGTCCTGGATCTTCCACTGCTCCTTGCACACCTGGGACGCCAAAAATTAGTCCCATTATGTCGAGATCCAGTAGTATTAACAGTAATGTACCTGACATAACGCCACAAGTAAGTACTTCCCACTGATCGGATATATGCAAATTTAATTATGATTTGAGAAATTTGAAATTCTACGGGTTATTTTCCTTTTTCATCTTTGTAATGATTTCATTGATCATTTTAATTACAGCCCGCATGGAATTTTTGTGATTTAAAAAGTTATTTTCTTATGCAGGTATATTGCATGTAGTAATATTGAATGTAATACTAGTCCAGTAGTATAACTAAATGTAGCAGGTTTCGATTTATTAATACTTTAACTTTGTTTGCTAGATTGTATAGTACAACTAGTGACATTAAACATTTGTCCTAGATTACATTTGTAAATCTCATTTGCAGATACCTCCATTGCCTATGAATTACAGACCGAGTGTTACTTCTGTGTGTAATATTCAAAAGCCTACATTCTCTACAGACGACGAGCAGCTAAGCGTATTAAAAGTGATAGAAAAGAAACCAAATAATAATCTTATAGATTTGAGTTCTTTCGATCACGTTGAAGATAAAACAAACGTTCGAGTTAGTGTGTTGGAAGCGTTCGATCCATTACTTGTTAAGACTGAAAATCACGGTGATGTACAACAAGGACAGAAAGATGGTAATCAATTTTCACCTCAATGTTGCAAAAAAATTATTACATTAATTTGTACACGAGTATCTAAAAATGTGTTTCGTAGGGACAGAGGCCCAATCGCAAGTAGCTGGATCAGTGTACGACCCGTTTGATCCATTCGATTATATGTATAATACAAACGAAAGCGTTAATTCGGATCCGGTATACGTAGCTGTGGAAAAGTCTGCTAAATCTCCAGCTTTATCTCCGGCAGCACCACCACCGTTACCTCCCAGAAATTCGTCTGCTTGGAACACCATTGAGAGAAGGAGGACTTCCTTAGATAGAAGGGTAAATTTAACAAATTTCCAGTTAAGAGTAGATCAAGATTTGTTTAAATTAATGGAAACTAAGAAGTCCGAATTTTCATAGCAAAAACGACAAACACGATTGTACGAGAACGTAACAGTGAGAAAAACTAGACCGTCGCTACAAGATTGCGATCTTAAAGCATTTCACGAAATGATGAAGTCTGTACGAGGTTAGTAAAATACAGAATATATTATTTATCACTTCTACAGTGATCGAACTGTGTATTAATTATCGAACTATGTGTAGGTGATTTTCCATTTAATGATCCTAGTACGAATATTGGACACATAATCAGTCCAATGATGGAAAACTTATATCCCGAAGGTACAAGCATAAAGTTGGTGGTACATCCTCAGTTAGTGGATACCGATGAAAATACTCCGTCCATCTCATTTACGTGTAACGGTAAACATCTAAAATATGCTTCTGCATAATTTGCATTAATTTCGTAATATTCCCTAAATATGTTTTTACAGTGAATTGCAGCGTTGAACACGTTGTCCTTAACGTCGCCTGTTCTTTAGAAGACGAAGATACAGTAAATACAGAAAAATATTGTCTAAGAGTGTGGGGATTGGCAGAGTATTTTGCTCCCAATACTACTTTGGCGCAGTATGAGTACATTCATCAATGTATTAAATTAGAGAAGGACATTGAATTAGCTATTCAGACAAAGGCACAAATTAAACGATCTATAGCTCGGACGGTAAGTATTGATTTCTAAATCAAATCAAAATATTCGAATATTTACAATAATCTCCATAATATTTATAATATTCATTTTTCTAATAGCTTCAAGATGATAATCGCGAGCAGTGTCTAAGATTAGAAGATATTCTTCCAAATGAGCCTGTTCAGCCTATATCTTACGAAACGCTGTTAATTTTACTAGGTATGTAATCAAGAAGCTACTATTATTACACTAGACACTTTCAATGAACATTTTTTCGATGAATTCAGAGTGAAAGTCATTTGAGTTATGTTCGAGTGTTTGTGTGAATGATATAAAGAAACAACTTCTACAATATTGGAATGTCCATATGTTTAACGTATTATTAGACCATAAATCCGAAGGTCGTGGGTTCAATTTCTTTCTCTTTATTTTTAATAGGGAATTATATTTCTATAAGAGTCATTTTAACACGGTCACGCACCGGTGTGCCGCGGCACTTCTTTATTTTGATATGTATACATACTATTTGATATGGATACTACATAGAGAAAAAGTCTTTCCGCGGGAAAGAGTCAAATCCACGACCTCCGGTTTTGTGATTGAATATGTTATGCACATAGCCATTCCAATATTGTAGAATTTGTTTCTTGCTTTCGATATCTATACGATGAAATTTAAACATTAAATATCTTCATAAATAATGCCCATTCACACAAACACTCGAAAATGACTCAAATAATTTTCAGTCCGGATTCACTAAAAAAAAGTTTCATTGAAATCGGTGATCCGAAGTCCGCGACGTCTCCTTGTTGGTATAAATGTAAACGTAAGAATTTTTATAAAACTTTTAGAAACTGTGGAGAAAGAATTGGAACGTGTCGAAACTGCTGCTATACAATTAGCGACCACGAACGATAGTTCACGACTTTTACCGCAGTTACAACCTCGTGGTGTTGTTCAAGCGGTGAAAGCAGTTTGTGCTCTGATGGGAAATATAGAAACATTTGAGATCACGGAAGCCGTTGATAATTTTGTGAACGCGTGCTGCAAATTTTTACCCCAAGTTCACACGGCAAATATCGAATGCAAAAAACCTGAGATCTTACACGAAGATGGCGACTATTCTGTCGTGACGTTAAGAACAAAATTCCCGGACGTAATTGGTTCCCATTGTCGCAAAATCCGTGACGCAATCCAAGATCTTGTAGAAACTTATTGCCACGCATTTAGAGTTGATTTCGAATTAAGCAGCAAAACGGAATTTCCAACAAGTAATATCATTCGGTTATGTATATTTTGTTTTGATGATAATTTTGCAGATAATGTAATATTGTAAAAATCTATTTTCTAGACACTCTAATATCATCCGATGTATTAGACACTGTATTAGTACGCGTTGGAGCGTTGCATAGATTACCAGGATTATGGAAGCATGATGATTATATTGTCGCTGCACAAATATTTCACGGAACTAGACCCGTTGGAAATCCAGTTTTGTCCGAACCTATGGCAGTCAGTTATAATTTTTATCCTAGAATTTTATTTAATTCATGGTAATGTTTTTTGAGGATTACTGTTTCGAAACGGTAGCCTGCGTGTTGAATCTAAATCATAATTTTAATCGAAAAGGTTGGAGTTTCATGGAACAAGCGTGTGCCAAGTACCAAGAGAAGCTAGATTGGTGTTAGTCTTGTATGGTCGCACGTTGCAACCTACGGAACACGAATCAAATTCATCTATGGAAAACACTATGCAAAAGGAGGAACTAGGTTGGGGTGCTATACAATTCTTTGATTACGAAGGGTAAGTCATCGAGTAACAAAATTAGAAAACGCTGTATCTTATCGAATACATTTCTGTTGCTTTCTCTTAGGGTTATGAGCCAAGGAAGTTTTTTTTTGTCGTTATGGCCAGCAATTGCCGATAAAAGATTAGGCCCTGCTCCGACTCCTGGAATTCATCCCCATGGAGATACACATCCCATTATCGGTTTAGAGTTACCTGATTATGGAGGAAAAGTATTGTTTCCGACGGAACTGAGAGATTATGATGTCGATTCTCTTGACTTTAATTCACTGGATCAAAATACTCAAGAATTATTGATAGACATTACCCAGCAAACGACATTCTCAAGGTATATAATTTTTATTGAATTTCATTCTGAGCATCTTCAAAATTTATTTCTTGTGTTCGCAGACCGCTCATTGAAGAAAGAGAAATATTATGGGAGAAACGTCATTACTTGCACGATATACCCGAAGCTTTGCCGAAAGTACTTCTAGCTGCACACAGCTGGGACTGGGCGTGTCTACCAGATCTTCATGCATCCCTTCGAGTATGGAATCCTTTGCCTCCGGTACAAGCGTTACAATTACTATTGCCTTGGTAATTTGATGTCTAAAATAAATAGCTAATACGAATATTGTTTGTAACTAAAATAATCGTAGATACTTTGTAGCTTTCCAGACATGAAAGTCAGAGAAATGGCAGTCGTGTGGATTCGGGAATTAAGTAACGATGAACTCGTCGATTATTTACCGCAGTTGCTGCAAGCATTAAAGCATGAAACGTACGAGACTTCGCCCCTTACGAGATTTTTATTGGAACGTGCGTTACTCTCGCCACGAGTAGCTCATCATATCTATTGGCTATTAACGCAAGCATTACCAGGGCAAAGTCCTCAGGTCTTGATTCAACAATAGCCATGAACATACATTTATTGAATAATTTATCACCATCGAAATTATTTTTCAATGTACGCATCTTTCAGAATTCCGCCGAAGCTACTCCAGAAGATGACAAAAATATTAGCTATGCGCGTTACCACAGAAGGTTACAATTGATGCTAAGAGCATTGTTGGCCGTGATTGGCGATGCACTGAGAAACAGCTTTCTCACGCAACAGCTGCTAGTTAAAGTAATGCATTTGAAATAGTACACCTTGGAAACTTTGTATAGATAATGATATAATCAATATTTTTCGTAGAATTTACACGAAGTAGCAGAAAATATAAAACAAACAAAGGAGTCGTTACGACTAGATACGCTAAAAGTTGGTTTGCAAAATATACACTGTCAATTAATGGAAGACGAAGGTACGTGTCTACCGTTGTCGCCCAGCAAACAAATATTTGGTATAAACGTGCAAACCTGTTCGTACTTTCCATCGTTCACTCTTCCATTGAAGATCAATTTCATTAGCAGCGACGATGTTATTTGTCCAGCGATTTTTAAGGTATGTTTGTCGGCTCCGCGTCTCGTAAATATTATTTTTTCCTTTATGCTAAATTAATTTTCAAGGCTGGCGATGATTTGCAACAAGATATGCTAACTCTTCAAATGGTTCGTATCATGGATAAACTTTGGCTAAAAGAGGGCCTAGATTTAAAAATGGTGACGTTTGCCTGCGTGCCTACTGGTCACAAACGTGGAATGATAGAAATGGTTGTGGACGCAGAAACGCTGAGAAAAATACAAGTCGAATTTGGACTAACCGGTTCCTTCAAGGATCGTCCAATCGCCGAATGGCTGGCAAAGCACAATCCTTCGGAGCTGGAGTACGAAAGAGCCGTCGAAAACTTTACCGCATCTTGTGCGGGTTACAGCGTAGCCACGTATATATTAGGAATTTGCGATAGACACAACGACAATATCATGCTAAAAACATCGGGCCATTTGTTCCATATTGATTTTGGAAAATTCTTAGGCGACGCGCAAATGTTTGGTAACTTCAAAAGGTAAGAATATATTGATCCGCTGATTGTTTATCTCTAATTTAAAGTTACTTTCTCGTATTTTATACAGAGATAGGACACCATTTGTATTGACTTCTGACATGGCATATGTTATAAACGGTGGAGATAAACCGTCAGCCAAGTTTCATCATTTTGTGGATTTGTGTTGTCAAGCGTTCAACATTGTACGAAAACATGGAAATCTTATTCTGCATCTTTTTGGTTTGGTATGCTTATTAATCTATGCTCCATTATAGTCAAGTATACATATAGTCGCAGTAGTCAAGTAATTTTAAGCCGGCGTTGGTGTGGCGGGGCAAACATACTTTACCAATTCGTAAATTATCAACCTGCTTTAAACAAAAAGACATAATCACATAATATGATAATAATACATATCCTCTTGTATTTTTTATAACATTATTGACAAATGTATTATTACGTCACACTTTTATATCAAACTGACCTTGGGCTATATATAATATTACGATTAAATTATATTGTTTTAAAAAATGTAATATAATTTCTAACTTGAATTATATAAGGAAAGAAACCACAGTTCTGTTATGAAAACGAAACGAAACCGCAACGGAAAAACTTATCCGCACGCTTTATCAGAAAGCGGTCCCCTATCACACTAAACTGAATGCGATGTGTTGTTAATTAGCGTTTATCGTCCGAGGTCTTGTAATATCATAAACTGTGCTGCAGTCTGAATTAATTAAGAGAGCCGTCGAGCACGTTTTGAAATTAATAGTTTAATCGTTCGAATAATTTTTAATGCAGTATTACAAAATTGATTTTAGTGTAGTGCAATTTTAACCGAAAGTGTTGTTAAGTGAGACAAATTAAAGAATGGATAGTTTATTGCCTCGAGAAAAAAATATGTTGCTTTCGGACAAGCAGAGGATTTATAAACGGAAGCTTGGCGACATTGCAATCAAAGAATTTGTAAATAAGTCTAACATGAACGACTATATAAATTCACAGATGACTTCGTCTGGTATTCCCGGCGTGACCGTTGATGCGGTTAGTTACGTACAAAAAGCTCTTCTTCCTGATCAAACGAATCCTGAGGCAGCGGCTACCTTTGCACGAATGATCGAAAGCTCATTGAAAAGCTGGTTCACGCAGTTCAATTTCTTCTTGCATAATTTGGCACAATTGAGATTTTCAGGCGACCATAATGACGGAACGTTGTTCTCGTTCATTCCACGCACATACACGTAAACCAATTCTAATTACAATTATAATATCTCATGGAATTCTATATACACTGAGTAAATTAACTGTTGATTTGCCGCAGAATGCAACAAGCAGGCCAGTTAACGAGCGTCCAAGTGCACGGGTATCAGAAACGATACGATCCTGAAAAATATTACATGTATATTCTACGCATACAGCGACAGGGTCATGCAGACCCTACTTATTTATTCCGATCGTACAAAGAATTCTGCGAATTTTATCAGAAACTGTGCATCCACTTCCCACTCGCTAAAGTTGCTAGGTGAGTAATCATAGACGATTTTATACTATTTTTGTAGTATCATTAGTTCTTATCACTTTCATATCTTTCATATTTTACAGAAATAATATTATAGAAAAGAAAATTGCACTTGTTTTGTTCTTTCACAAAAGTATATTTTTATTTCAATTTCATATTTGTCGACTAACAATTGCTCAATGTCTTGCGCACTAATTTATTTCCATTTACTTTGTGATTGTTAACAATTTTTCAATTCATCACTCTTAATGCGATGAAGGATTTGATCGTTTCGAATCAATTTCAATTATATTTTTTGAACGATCATTGGCATTCTTTTGAGATGCGTTAGGATCATTTGCTGGAATTTTTTTATAAAATTCCGGTGTTGGTAGCTTCGATGTTCTATGTTGCATAGTTATTTGAGCACGAAATCGTGAGAGTACCATTTTTCTTATTCTTTCAAATTTTCCTTGAAAAGAATAGAATACAATATCAAATTATTATATTAATGTATTATAACAATACGTACTTACAAAAATAATTTCCTCTTTAAACTTATAAGTATAATTCACGTACACACCACTGTACAGAGTTGCTGAACAACTTCTTTAAAGTGGAAAGTATGTATTTTATATCTTCATTGTCACCTTTGAATTGCGTTATCTTCTGACATGTTATCTAATCAGATGAAAATCTTCGATACAGAAAACATTTACTTCGAAACAAATATTTCGATTTATTTATATATACATGTGTTTCTCAACAAATGTTTACTAATATAATCTCTTTTCGTACAATGCAGCTTGCCAAGTGGTCTAAGCGTTGGGAGATCCAATATAAAACAAGTCGCCGATAAACGTCGAGCAGATATTGAAAAATTTCTTGTGAGTTTATTTAAAATGGCTCCAGAAATTTCACAGAGTGATTTAGTATATACATTTTTTCATCCTCTACTAAGAGACCAACAAAATGCTGATATTCATTTACGTAAAGTGAAAGGTATCATTAAATTTGTACAACGTAATCATGGAAGAATTAACAGCAATATAGACGTTCCGTCAAAATTTTTTCTTTTTCCCTTCAATTAGTTGGCAATTGGTGGACTGAGAAGAGGGTCAGAGACAACGTACAAAGCGGACAAATTAAAATGTCGCTTCACTATACTCGAGGAACATTTTATGTAATGATCCATCATGCGAGGGGTCTACCTAAAGTTGCTAACGGTCAAGAACCAAATACGTATGTGAAAGTATATCTTAAACCCGACCCAACAAAAAAAACGAAACGAAAAACAAAAGTCGTGAAGAAGAATTGCCATCCTTCGTTCATGGAAATGGTAATAGATTAGAATAATCAATTATTTCTTTTCCGATTTATACTAGGATTGTATATCTATAATATGCATTTGATGTACAATACAAATTTGTTTGTCACAGTTGGAATACAGGATGTCTTTGGATGTTATTAAAGAAAGAACATTAGAAGCCACGATATGGAACCATGACACTCTTCAAGAAAATGAATTCCTCGGTGGAATACGTTTGCCTCTTGGGCGTTTAGAATTAATCAATGAAATAATCGAATGGTTTTCGCTAGGAAGTATTCGATGAAGGAACCTATGGAAACTTCAAAATCATATAAATGCTCACGAAAGATAAATCTATAAATTTCAACTTTATCGCACAATACTAACGATGGTATATCTATCATACACACGTCAATAGTACAACAAAAGGATAGTTTCTATGATATCATTACAAACATTGACACATGCTTTCGTGTTTGGTGAAAATGCTTTTTAAAACAAGTTAGACAATGTACTAAAATTTGTGGAAACAAAAAATAGGCGTATTTCATACAATTGTTCCGCCTTTGGAAAAGCAGTTAAAATGTTGGAAACAACTTCTTTATCCTAATGCCTAATCATAAAAGTATTCTAGAAATCGTGTAGCTTCTATATCTACGAGTATACTATAAAATTAATTGGTCCCATAATGATAATTTTACTAGTGAAATTTTATAAGAATGTTTATTTATTCTACTTCTGCCAAGAAATAATCTCTGCCAATTGTAAATAGATACGAAATAACTTACGGTATTGTAGCGAATTGAATACGATGATTCCTAAATAGATGTGTTAAACACTATAAAATTTATATACGTATATTTTTATTCAAATAATGTTTTCACTCAAGGTATCATCAAACAATACTTTAGCATAATTACAATATTATACGAAGCTCTGTTAATCCTGTTGCTCTATCAATAGAGCATTTGACGCAACTTTAATTGCGTTCTGAGCTTCTGAAATGAACCGGTCAACTTTGAGATGGTATCATTAAAATGTGGGTCTAATAAGGACCCGATACAAAACTAACGAACCATTATTATCCATGGGCACCATCGACCACATATAAAACAGGCACTTAAACAACCAGCATACTGGGAACGAGCATAGAATACAATTTGAGAAAGATTCAACAATTGTGAACACTGCAAAAATTACACAACATGTTAACCATTTTTTTGTCGTCTTTGCTTGGGCTCTCTAGAGCTTTCGTAGAGCAATATGCAGGGTACACGAATCCAAAGATATTGCAAATTAATTGCTGTCCAACACCAAACACTAGATAAATATTTAAAAACACTGCAGAGCCTAAAAAGAGATAGGTCCTGTTGACCCTGGTTTATTTCTCGATTTTCGCAAGATACTTTGTCCAGAGTTTACTCTCGTTGCGCAAAGTTTTATCTAAAGAATCTTTAACTACAGCAAGCCTCGCTATTTTGTTAACGAAAAAAATAACACAATTTTTACTTTCATATGAAAATTTGAAATTATACACAAAAATAATAACTATCTTTCGATATACAATAACAAGATTCTATATGAAAAATGTTATACATGTAACTCTATTCTATACATCTTTTATGCAAGAAAGGAGAAGGAAGTTATGTAAATATGCTTTTGCACATGCCAATAGCTTCGCAATTATTTTTCATGCATTGTGAATATTTGAACATTGTTTCTTTTTTAACTAAGCACAGAGCTATTTTAACGAAAATGAAGGTTCATATTAATACATTATTGACGTGTATATTCTGGAAATTCATTTGACATTACAAAACATAACGATATTTTTGTAGTATCTTTACTGTATAAAGATTTTAAATTCCTGACTTACCTTCACTGCGAGATGAAGGATTTTACTATCGCAGTTGTGACGCAGAATCATTTATATTATGAAACACACAACATCCATACATATGCTTAATCTACTCTTTTGTTGCTCGTGCATTAATATAATTAATTTCAATTTTAATTTTTATTGTAAATATTTATTGTACGCAGCGAGTTCATTTAGTAGTACAACACGACGTTCTTTCTTACCGGTTAAATAGACCCTGATATTATATTTATAAAGAAAATCATTGTCAATACCTAAGTCTTTAGCTTTTGCATTATTTTTCTAAAATAATCGTCAATTACAATGCTTTTGCATATGCTTCTCGTCTACAATTACTTGTAAGATCATACAAAATGTTAGTAAATTATTTGTCAATCACGTTGATCATACACAAAACGCAACCGATTCTATGAGATACAAAAATACAAGAAACATATTATTGCATTTCGATGGGAGTTTTAAAGTATTACGCACGAATCTTCTAGCACAATACAACGCATAATTCCGACGATTTATTATTTACTTCTTAATTTGTAATGTGACATTAAAAGCTACGTAATAAATTGTCTTGTTGTATTTAGTAGACCTTTCTTGGATATATAGCGCAATTACTATTTTATTATACTATTTTATTGAATATAATTTTAAGAAATGAAACTGTGCATAATATTTCATACAAATTTTTATTCCTTTTTATTTTCGTTTCTTCTTTTATATTTTCTACATGAAATTTATTTCTGAATTTAGAGCTTTAGGAGAAAATAAATTTATTGACGTATGAGCCATGTGTTTATTTTAAATTTCAACTCTTCTTGGTAGAATCAGTAAAATCGTGTACTGTGTTTCCAGAGAGATCTACGACTTTCTCAATAGCCGCTTTACAGAAAAAGCATTCTCTTGCAGTAAAAAGATGTTGGTCGATACACGTACGACAGGTTTGATGACGACAGGGCTCGAATGTTACTGCAATAGGATACGCGTAACAAATTGTACAAACATTATCATCGTCTGTGACAACTTTCGAATCCGGCAAGATGGATTGACAATGCTCTAAATACTCGATCATTTCCTGTACTTGTTGTATTTCCTCTTTCGATACGTCTTCCGGATCTGCGACAAATAAGAAAATAATTAAACAAATGCCTAAAAAGTTACAATAATTTCACTTCTATATTGCATATACTTACATAGCTCAAACGAGAACGGTTTTAATTTCTCGTTTTTGCTTTCAGAGTTTGTATTACCCAATAGAAAATGGAGGGAACTCAGTTGAAAACTAGGCTCGTTTAACAAGGTTCGAGTAACCTCTGGTACCACCTTTATACTTTGCGCTAAAAAAAATTACGATCAAATTTGAATTTGATCTTATCTCATCAGTTTTGTACCACTAACGGATAAGAAGATATACTTACATTTAGATTTGGTCATATCATCCTTCAATAAAGCTAATAATACGCCTGTAACTGCCGCCAGTATTGGAAAGTGATCCATTGTATCGAAACCTGGGATTTTCAGTAAAATAATTTGCTGGAAACAATTGCTTTGCGATGTTATTCTGTTTAACACCTGACACAGTAACTGTGGAACCATATAGTCACGATTAGAGTAATTGCAGAAGTCCAAGGCTATTGCGCAAAGGTACATACTTGACATAGTCTAGACAACAAGTATTCGCTGGAAGATTCTATGGTACTGTTAAAAATACTTGGGGCCACTGTAACGATCATCTCCAGCACATGTAGCAAACATATGGTCAACATAAAGCACGTATCAAATATGCTTAGTGTTTCGACGTTAGTAATGGCTACTGTCGAGGATTCCGTTACTGCGACATCGCAAATTTCTTGCAAAATTCTGATAAATTCAGAAAAAGACCAATTTGCATGATTTAATAGAAAATTTAAATACTTGGTAGACTCTTGAGGATTATCCAACAGCACGTCTCTTACGTGATTCTGATATACAGCGGACGGACATGGTTCTAAAGAGTCGGGAATAGAAATGAATAAGCGAATCACCATATCGTGGCATTGTCAGATTCGTAGAAAAGAGCAAACGTACTTGTAGGATGTAACGAGACAAACATCCAGATGTGTGGATATAACTTCAGCTCAATTCTCTCCGAAAGATGCGGGCTCTTGACGTATCGAAAAGCAAATCCGTTGCCGTGCCAAAATTTAAGTAAGATCCAAGTCGATTGGGCCCACGGTCCATCGTCTACGTACGACTTGAGAAGGTTCCTCACAACCTTTGTTCTACTTTCTTCCTGTATACTTTCTACTGCTTCTAATGCCAATGGATTGATTAGAAAGCAGGCTAAATTTGTGGCTGGCTTGATCTTCGAATTTGCGTTTACTATGCGAGGATCCATAAAGTGCTCGCAAAGGAACACAGCTATGTCTTGAAGTGTTTCTCTGTATCTTGAGATGCTTTCGACACTTTCCGCCGGGTACAGATGATTTCGCAGAGTTTTATATAAATCGGCTTGCGTATCCAGGTAAAAAATCGGAGTGAAGCTGAACAAGTTTCCTTCTTTGCTGGCATTGTTCAATGTTCGAGTGACCACCTGTAATAGCCACACAAATTGTGCCTCCTTTTCTTCTGTGTAGAGGACCGCCCGAGCCCATGCCATATATGTCGTTTGCTCTGCCAATTTTGACTTAAACACGTTTATCTGTCGCAACAGTGCTTCTTGAATTGCGCGTGACTCGGAATCCTCGTTGTTCTTGATTTGTTCCAACTGTGTCTGGTCGTCCTCCAAGGCAGCGACGTATCCGGACATTTTATTCCTGTGCAGCGTTACGTCTGCTAACTGTTTCCTTGCTAACACGTAATAAAATAAAATAATGCCGTCAAGCAATTCCAGCAACGACGTGGCCGAGTCCAACGGGCCCAATTTCAGCGGTTTTATCTCTTCCATGACATACGAACAACTTTCGAATCTTTCGAAGATCAGTATCGAACCTCGAGTGTATTCCTGTGAGGCGACCACTTCGTAATCCGAGCCTAATTTCTCTACCAGTTCAGATTTGAAAGTTTTGTTCAAGTGCGACAATACTCCTCCCAGCCTTTCGATTGTAAAATAATCGATCGACGCATCGTAGAATGCCCTACAAATTTCGAAGGAAATCCATCGATGAATTATGATCTGACGACAATTACACGAGCAAGCGTATTTTCTTTACCTGCAAGGCACGTAAACAGGAGATGTTCCTACTTCCTCGTCCCACAACTTTTTAAACGCGATCAGTAACCGGTGAAAACAAGATAACGCGATCGGCAACGGGGTCTAAAACAATGGTAATGGTTATTCGAAATACAAACGAAAAGCTGTAACATTATATAGAAGGATGAAATTGTTGAAATAGGTTGATGCACTTACGCAATTAGATAGGGTATTCTTTTTGATGAAATATCTAAATCTTCTTAAGAATATAGTTCTCGAGGTCGGTTTTTTTTCATTACCATCGGAATTATCGAGAAAGATCACTAATAATTCCGTTTGTACCTTTTCTAGTTCTACAAAATTGCATTAATGGCGACATATCCATAACAAATAACTGTAAAACCAAAAGGTAAATGTATCGTACCAGATATGGCAGCTTTAATTTTTTCACATGCTTCCAAATAACTCGTTACATTTCCGACTACGTTGGTGAGATTTTTCTCGTCCAACGGCTTGATGTCTATGAAATCTGTGAATCTCACTCGATCAATGAGCAAATATTGCAACAAGAATTGACGAGTTCTCGTGTGTCGAGAAATACTTATCAACAAATGTAAACTTCTAAATTGATCAGGATACTCCAACACCGGTGAGACGTGTCTGAACATGTAGTGCAAGTACGAAACGGTATTTTCTAAAAACGCTTCCATTTCATGATCTTCGAGAAACGTCCACAACAGGTCTAAGCATGTTATCAACGTGAAAGATTCATGCTCCGAAAGTTGTTGCATAAACGGGATCACGATATATTCCGTGATATATGGAACGGTAATTAAAGATCCTACATGTTTAAAAACCAATCTCGAAAGACACATTAGAAAGATCGAAACGCTTGTTCCGTCAGGTAACATGTTCTGTTTATCGGAGTGTTGTTCCTTGTTCAACAGATGTATTATCCTCTGAAGCCAATTAAACAAGTAGGTTGCTTTGGTTATTTCTTTCTCTGGTGCCAACTGCAATGGTTCGTATCCTTCTACAGGATATCGCATCGGCGTGGAACCAAAATTGGCCTTTAAAGTTTCTTCCAACGAGAGGCTGACCGTTGGAAAGTACGCGATGCCGCTACCCATCGCAATATTTTCAAAGGCTCTTCCCAAGTCTGTGCCATTTCTATAAAAATTAATTGTCCTGTTGTCCATATCTAAAGCACATCCGATAATGTCTCCTGTAAGCCATGATTCTCCATACTTGTAAGTGGATACATTCCACTTTCTCAAATGATTTCCATCGTACGCATAAGAGTTAACAGTGTCTCCTGAAGAAGTTCTAGCATTATATGAAAATATCACATACAATAGCTACTTATAAACTAAAACTATTAAGATTTTCTCAAAATAAAATTGAGTTTCATATAATATCCTGTATTAGTTAAGAGTTAAATAAAACTACGATATACCGACGCCCTTCTCTTGATTGAATCGACAATTGATGGTGCTCCAGCCGACCTGCATGACTCCTCGAGAACCAAGCTGTAATTCATACATCCACTTTCCTTTGAAAACTGCTGTGTTCGCTTTCAATGTGCTGAATCTAGAACCTGACGTGATGCTAAGTCCATCTTGCGAAAGTGTGGTAAGTCCTACATGCGTTGTCGAGTCAAATACAACCACATCTCGACCAATTCGTCCTTCCCTCTTGTCTGATACAATTGGGATAGAGGCAAGTCTAATTTCAATATAATTATCTAGCAAAAGTAAAGCATCGGATATTCTAAAATATGGAAACAAATGCAGTTCATACAAGGTCATATCGATACAAGTAATAATTTTGGCAAGAAGAACAGTAACAAATTACCTGGAACCGATTAAATCTGAACGTACAGCTTGTTCAAAAATATTCATTACGATTTCATCGATTTCCATGTTCAAAAGTTCCGATTAGCGCAGAAAACATTTACGACTTTCAAAATGTTAATAATTCATTCGGAGCAATTTTTTTACAGAATTCTGATTTGAAGAACAATGATTTTCATCGACGAATCAATAGGACTATCTTAAATGAAAAAAGGTGTAATACTTATTATCGTACTACTTTTTTTACTCGTTCAATTTACATAAGACGTAAATAATGACAAGAATCATTTGTTCCTTGGCATAACGTACTGCTAGCGCCACTTGGCGGTCACATTGGAAAAAAAAAGATTAAATAACTCGGAATCAGCTGTTCGATTCAAAATTAATATTGTTGATATTAAAAACTTCATAGCGACGCAACACATTGAATTTATAGCTTAGAATCTTATAATTATGGTTACATAATTATAATTTTTACAATAATAATCTCTCTAGAAAAGGTCCAGTTTCGGAATTTCACCGCTGGATGACAGGGCCGTGTCAATTCTGCAGCCGCTGTAAATAACGTAAATTCCTGTTTTATCAATGTTACCTATATCAATTTTACCCAATGATTTACCTACCTGTTTTACATAATTGTTTTATACAATTTCATCATCGTGAACATTTTGAGACGAAAAATATGAATTCTTAGCTTTCAGATATAGAAAAACAATTCCGTCATAATTACAGATTTTTTTAAATATGATATAAACGGTTATAAATACCTGAGTTTTCCTATTTTTACAGTATATTGTTATCATGTTTCCGAAGTTTATCGGTGGATGAAGCAACTTAGAATTCAGAAGGATACTACTATTCGAAGGCCAAAGGTCTAAAAGCGGTCAGGGAAGTGACCAAGGGAGAAATCCGAGGAATCCATTTTGTTGTTGCGCTTAAAAACACGAATCAAAGTTTGAATAGAACATAAAATGTAAGTACAATTGTTTTGTACACAACATTACGACGACGCGATAATAGTGGTAAGCGTCAAGCTGTAAACTAAAAATGCATCAGAGAAATGCTGAGACCCTAGTGTCCTACAAGCATGCTACCGGTCTGATCGTTTTGTCAAGCAAAGTACAAAAATACTATCGGCTTTGCCAGTATTTAGGATTATTTTGTTATATCCGAAAATAGATTCGTTCCCGTAGAAAAAGCTACTCGATTTGAGTTTCTTGTGAAAAGGAAACGAAAGTATTTTCGGAAAGCCATTTTCTTCAACTATGCTGACGTTGGATGTTCGATTAACCTTTTAGGCACGACGCGCCACTATAGTGGCTACCGCCGGATGTCATCTCTCTGAACGACGCGCCACTATAGTGGCTTACTCTAGTAGCTCTTTCGGTCATCGTTTGAATCAAATAATCGTCTTCATATGCATTGTTTCACACTTCTTTTGTCTTCACATCGATTTACAATATATAGACTTATCTTAACAATATAACTGTTAACAATATAACTGTTAATAATATAACTGTTAACAATAATATAACTGTTAACAATATAACTGTTAACAATATAACTGTCAACAATATAACTGTTAACAATATAACTGTATCTTAACAATATACAAACAGACTATACAGACACTCTATACAGAGAAATAGCCTCGCGCAGAATTCAGCCGTACCTAAAAGGTTAATTGCGAATGCGTGCATTTTCAAATTTTTGCATTTTCTGCATCAGCGCAACGGCGCGACTTTTCGAATCGTTTTTGTTTGCCCAACAAATACGATGGGACAGCTCCTGGCAAATACGATGGGACAAGCTCCCAAAAGTTGGTCAGTCTTTCGTCGCAAGGTGTATAATCGGTTAAAGTGTCGGTGTCGACGAAAAAGGAAAGATGCCAGAGAAGATGGTTTCCCTATTTCCTCTGCCGGGATAACACCGGGAATTCTCTATACCTGGGACCTGAGACTGGACGCGGAAAGTTAGGGCGCGTTTTACTGCAAAAGGATTTCAAATACACACACGCAGGCAAGACGTTTTATTACAGTTTTCATCCGCAGATTAGCCCCTTTGGAACCATCGATACTCGATGCTCTGGGCCTTTATGGCCCCGTCCCCCCTACCCCTCCGCCCCTCCCTCATAAAAATATCTATTTGGTGTTTTCGACTGGACCGACTCTGGACGGAGCAGACTGTAACAAAAAGATAGAGCAGCTCTCATGCATTCTTTGGAATTTCTTGAAACGTTGTGTACGTGAAACGTTGTTGCATCTTGGGGTCCAATTATGTACGGGTTGCCGACCCAATCGTCTTCCTTCTCGATTCAGAACAGTCCTGTGTTCGTTCTCGCCCCTATTTCTCTCTTCTTCCTTTCCTATTTCGACTTCTGTCGTTCGCACCGTGACGACGCAAAGGCGGGATATCTCTCCTATATATCAGGTCGTCAAGAACGAAATTTGTAGAAAAGAAGGCAAAGTTGCTTCATAACTTACAAATATGAGGAATTATTTTATTTATCAAAGTATGCACCCATATTGTCTATGCACTTTTGCCATTTAAGCGGCAGGTTGTTCAGGCCGGTGACATAAAACCCTGGCGGACGAGAGTCAATGAATTCCTGGCAGACCAGTTTTACAGCATTGTCGGAATTAAATTGTTTTCCTATGAAAAAATTGTTCAAATTGTGGAAGAAGTGACAGACAGTGGGGGGCTAAGTCTGACGAGTATGGAGGATGATGAAGAAGTTCCAACTCCAATTCCTGTAGTTTTGCCACAATCATTTGTGCAGCGTGTAATCCAACGTTATCATGCAATAAGATGGGAGTCGATTTGTTGACCGATCTAGGCTGTTTTTCTTTAAGTTTTTGCATCATTTCGTCCAGTTGGTTGCAGTATATTTCTGTTGTGATCGGTGAGCCAGGTTTCATAAAATCATAACGGATCTCACCTGCGCTAGACAGGTACGATAACCTTCGATTCTGAGCAACCGCGTGGTTCATTTGTGAGGTCAAAATAACCTGTACGAAATTTGGCGAACCAATTTGATACTGTCTGCTGTTTCGTTACACTAGAGCCAAATACACTATTAATGTTTCACGCGTCTATTTCGTAGTTCCACGTAAGAACTCATACTTCATAATAGTGCGAATTTTCGACCGTTCCATTTTCATCAAAATTAATTTTTAAAAAAGTTTTCAATATTTCTTAGAGCTTAAAATAATTTCTTTAAACAAGCGAGATTTGTTTATAACTTTCCAAAAAAAGAGAACAGAACGGTAAAATATTAAGCCAATGTCAAATAATAAATTGTTGAAGTTGGCAATATTATTAACTACAAATTTCATCCTTGTCAACCTAATACATCTAAATAATTCGCGCCGACTCAACGGTCGATGATGCTTTAGCCGTGTTACGAGTATTAACCCTTAGAGCTCTATGGACGCATATACGCGTTTGGCGAAAGTCATCCGTGTAGCCTAAGGCGCCGCATTTACGTGTTTTCTCTAAGTCATCGGCCTCTGGACTAAGGGCGCATATATGCGTTTGTCGATTTTTTCAATCGATACGCAGTTATTTTCGTGTAAAATTAATAACAGGGGCACTCGTTAGTAATTTGCCTTCCTTAGGTAGCGGTTGGGCAATATCAGGGTCATCAAAATCCCCGAGAATTTCCGAAACGGAAATCCCATTTTATGTCCCGCCCTCTAACCAATTAGATTTCAAAATAATTACCTGCACTCTGTCACCTTTTCGCGACTCAAAGCACTCAAAGAACGACTCAGTCAGCAGTATCGTCTTGCGAATGTAAGAACCTCACGGTCTCGCTCGCGTCAACAACGATAGTGCGGAATATAACTTGTTCGATTATTTGTTTTTTATTCGTGACACCCTACAGAATGTCAAATCTTGAGGAATATTTCACAAGGGACGACAGCGAAATAGAATATAGTGAATCGCTATCATCGGACATTGAATCGGAAGATTAATTATTTAACCTTTTGCAAAAGAATCACTATAATTTATTACTGTTTGCGCCTTGAATAGTCACTTC